TCTCAATAAATGTCCATGGACTGAATTCACCACTGAACAGGCACAGGCTGGCTGATTAGATTAAAAAGTACAAGCCATCCCTGTGCTGTCTCCGGGAGAACAAAAGGACAAATCAGGATTCACTGTTAAGGAATGGAAAACAGTATTTCAAGCAAATGGAAATCAGAAAAAAGGAGGGGTTGCAATCTTAGTTTCAGATACAAGCAGATTTAAAGCAATTAAAGTTAAGAAAGAGAAAGATGGACAGTTTATACCAGGAAAAGAAACAATACAACAAGAAGACATTTCAATTTTAAGTATTTATGCACCCAACATAGATGCTCCCAGATTTATGAAACAGACCTTGATGGATCTGAGCAATATGATATCCCATAACATATAATAGCTAGGGACTTTAATACCCCTCTAACAGAACTAGACAGGTCCTCTACATAGAAACTAAACAAAGATACAAAGGACTTAAACATGACCCTAGAACAAATGGGATTAATAGACACATATAGAACACACCATCCCAAAGCTACATTTCTCTCATCAGCCCATGGTACATACTCCAAACTTGATCATATCCTAGGATACAAATCAAACTTCAGTAAAATTAACAGAACAGAAATTATACCTTGTATCTTCTTAGATTATAAGGCAAAAGGTGGAACTCTACTCCAACAAAAATGTTCATCCCCACACCAAGACTTGGAAATTAAACAAACTTATGCTGAATGATATTTGGGTTCAGGAAGAGATAAAAGAGAAAATTGTTAAATTCCTCAAACATAACAACAATGAAGACACAGGTTACCAAAATCTGTGGGACACAGCAAAAGCAGTTCTAAGAGGGAAATTTATCACACATTATTCTTAGTAAAGCATCACAAGAATGGAGAAACAAGAACAAAATGTACTCAATTCTGATATGTAGGCAATTAAGGTCCTAGTACACAGTGGGAGGTGGGGGATAGGGAGAGCTGAGAAAGGGAAGGAGAGAGAGGATAGAGGGACAAAGGGTGTGGTACATCTTTTGGGGGAGGGATACAATTATAATGGGGTCTTTCTTTAACAAAAGCAATCAATGTAACCTGGTTTTGTGTACCCACAATGAATCTCCAATAATAACAATAATAATAAAAAAAAAAACAGAAAGAGAGCACATCAACATACTCACAAACCATCTTATGGAATCTGAAAAAAAAAAAAAA